GAGGCCCTCTTCTCACACTGCCTCTCCCTGCTGCCAGTCAGAGCTCGCCGCTTCACCTGCTCTCCACTCCCGACCCTGCAGCACGCCTGCCCTTCCCCAGCCCCCCAGTGGCGTCACATCACGCAACAGTGGCTAGTCTCCAGTCTGCTTTCCACACCTTCGGGTAGCTCCGAAGGCACAGGGACCGTGTCTGGTCCTTGCTGAGCGATGCCCACAGCCACCCTCCCTGGCTAGGTGCTCAGTGAGTGTTCACTGAATCAATGTGCACACTTCTGCACACAGCTCACGGGCCAATCTGACACCAAAAGGGGACCCTGCAAAAAGGGAAGCTTTCCCCGGAAGCCCAACGATAGGATGGGTTTGACAGTAGGCTTCTCCACGTGTTCGCACACTGTCTGGGAGGCGCAGCTGGTGGGCTCGGCCCCAGAGCCACAGAACTGGGACTTGGCGCAGCCAGCCAGGAGTCTGCTCTTTCCCACACCATCGTGGTGGTTCTCAGCCCTCCGAGCATGAAAACCGGAGCCTGGTGCGGAAATCTAAACCACAGACAGCCGAGCAGTGTGGCATTCAACAACCTCCCCTGCCTGCACCAACTCAGGGCAGAGGAATATGAGGTAATGTGTCCAAAGGTTTCAGAAAAAGATGTATCATGCAGGCAAGGCACGGATGTGCTAAAAAACTGAAGGTTAGTTAAAATGTGCACTTAGAAAGACTGAGGAATGTGCTTTACTTATAATTTTTTTGGTAAATCAAATAACATCTAAATAAAGATTATAAAATATCAAGGTATATTTTAAATATCATGACAGAAGCTTCTTTTTCTTTTTTTCTTACATTTATACTTAGTGGCTCTGTCAGAAATTGGAGATTAATATTTTAAATGCTGAGAGAAGCCAGCAGCTTGTTCCAGTCTCTGACTCAGTTAAGCTCTTACAATATTTTGACTGTTTGAAGAAAATTAATAATGGGATGTTAGGCGGTAGATGAACTGAAACTAAATATCAACATAGTTAGATTTATTTTTGGATGACTGAGCTCATCCCTTCAAAGAACAGAAGCAGGATTCATTATACGATGAGTTATTAGCTTATACAACACCAGAACGGCCCCCAAATGGAGCAGAGCGCCACAGTGCAGTTCAAGATTACATAAGAGGCTTGAAGTTGAGCTGTCACATTAGCTAGGATTTGCAGTGTGCAGGCCACAGCTGATTACTCAAGGTGCACAAAGACACCAGAAGTTAAGCCAATAACTGTCCTGTTGGTTTCAGGATCCAACTAGTTACTGATGCCTTATCCTATCTCTGCTGAGTAGCCTGAGAGCAGAGCCCCATTCTGGCCAATAGAACAGGCGCTTTGCTTTCTGCCAGTCCTATATGCATTCAGGAAACGGGTGCTGAGCACCCGTGAGTGCCTGTCCTCACTTCCCTACTTTCCACTATCTCGTCTCCAATGTGTCTGCATCCTGTAGGTCCCTGTGGTGAAGATTTGAATTTCTGCTTCTGGGTCAAACATCACCCTAGGTCAGGTGATGCTCCTGTTCCTGATGGTGCTTCCTGACCAACAGCGAGAGGCTAGATAGGCTTCAGATGAGCCAAAGGGACCTCAACTTCCTGAAACTCAAGTGTCAACTCCCCCTGCTCTTCTCACCCCTTCTGTGCTACAGAGAGACTGCTGGTGATGGCCTTGGGCCCTCAAGCTGCAGACGGTCGTCATACAATGCACAGCCATGACTTGCTGAAGGAGGACACCAACACTGGCCTTTGTCCATGGTCTGCCTGGAGTTCAGCAGCTTTCTGCTGTTTCCCATGCAGACAGATGCACGAGCAATTTGAGAACCCCTCTATTCTCATGTCTAAAGTCAATGAGATTCATAATAGCAGCAGAATTGATGGAATACACTACTGGGGAATAAGGCTGTTAACAGGAGCCACTTCTGCATCCCTGGGTGGGGGCCACGTTGTCATACTTCATAATGTGGGTGACTCCTAGGAAAAAGCTGTCCCCCTCGGCTCCCTCTTTCCGCCTCGGCCCAGGCACAGGCCCACATGCCTCCATGGCTTAGACTAAGGCTTGAGGCAGGAGGACCGCAAATTCAAGCCCAGCCTTGTAAGACCCTGTCTCAAAATAAAACATTCTTAAAAAGAGTGTGGGATATAGCTCAATATAAAGGCACTGGGTTCAGTCTCCAGGACTGCAACCAACTAACCAAGCAACTGACAAAAATAGCCTGGGTGTGTGTGTGTGTATCTGTGTGAGGGGGTGTTGTGTGGGAATGCTTATGACAATATTTAAAACAGAAACTGGAAAGAACTCCAGCATACCTCAACAACAGAAAGAATAACGTGGGGTCCAGAGTGGACTATTAGGCAACAATGAAGATGATCAAACTAACAGATGTGACTAACTGCAGGATCTACCTCAGACACAGTGCACACAGTGGGTGCTATTTTCATTACGCTCAGACTCAGGACACTTAGGGATATGTGCACAGGTGGCAAACCGCATCTTGAGAGGGAGAAAGGAGGTAGCCCTAGGTTGGAAGTGACCTCAGGTGGAAAGGCAGGGATTGGGGAGAGGTACACACTGGTTCTCTTCTGCCTCTCAAATTTCGTGGTGAGCTCATGGGCTTATCTGTGCTTTACACATACATTCCATATATTCCTTTGTATCACTCAAAGGACATAAAAATGTTCAAGAAAAAAAAAAAATCCCAAGCCCACAGCTTGGCAGCGCAAATCTCTCATGCCATCACATGAGCTGTGCTTGTGCCCTGAGCGTGGGGTGGGCTGGGTCCCAGCTGCAGGGGCCAGAGGAATGAGGCCTGCTTTCTCCCTGTCAGATGAAGACAGCTGGGGCTATCCACCCAAGGATGCTGGGAAGATCAAGTGAGAGGGGTGTGACCTTCACCTATCACTGTGTGCAGACTGCCGCTCTCTTCCCCTCGCTTGAAGACAAATCATTCGGGCCTAGGGCCCCCAAAAGACACTGTCCGGTTCCATGTCTGAGGCTACCCTGGTTTCCACCCCCTATGGCAGAGCACCTAGCATTATGAAATCACGATGCAACGACAAAAGTCAGCCCTTTCTTTGCTTCCATGACTTAGGCCAGGTTTCTGCAGGCTGCAGGTAAGTAAGCCTGCTTCTGGGGAGATGCCATCCTTTTTACAAAGCACCAGCACTGTGCTTCCCAGGGAGGGAAGAGAGAACAGAAGACCTCGGAAGAGACAGCTCTGCAAGTCCAGTCCTGCTCCAGCAGCCTCCTAAGTGGCCTCTCGCACCAGTCTCACTCACTGCCCAAGTCGTCCACAGTATACCATGCTCTGGATTCAGCTCCAGAAACACTTCCAACCCTTGCTCACACCTCCTGCCCTGCTGATGGGCCAGGTGCCCATTGACGTCTGGGCACGGGGACCAGCAGAAGTGGTACGGAGGTGGCAGCTGTTGGACCTGAGTTTCCTCCAAGGTGAAGATGTCCTTCCACTTCCCTCATAGGACTTGGAGTGGCAGTAGCAAACTGCCTAGAGGCTCACAACCTAATAAAATACCACTTTCAAAAGCAGAAGCCAAATAAAGTAATTATATTCCAAGTGTGACTACCCAGCTGGTCATGTAATTCCAGGTCTAATCACCCCCTTCTCTTCCTATAAATAGGTACCACTAGCTGTGAATGTCTGTGTCACCGAAGACAGGTAAGAATCAGCCAGCTACACACACAAATTGGAATGAGCCACTGCGAGGTATCAGCTACAAACGTAAAGTGGGTTCTTTCCTTGAACCGCCTCCCTTCCCTCATCAGCCTATTAGAACACAGACTCCATGGGAAAGCGCGGAGGTGACAGGAGCTGTGAACCAGAAGCCTGCTTTCTCAGGTGGAAGTGACTCTAATGTCTCTGGCCTGTTTGCTGACCATCCCACTCACTCCGCTCAGCCGCTTCCATGCCGGACTCCTTCACTGTGCAGTGGAAGCCCAATGACCCAGAAATAATTTGAACAAACCTATTTCACTGAGGACGCTTTCATTTTTATCTTCATTAACTCTCTTGTCCCTATCAAGTACGCTGAAAGCATGATTTATGCTTTAGCTTTGGGGTCTGGAGGATGTTAACATGTAGACAATTTGTACATTTAACAGAAGCAGGAAATACTGCATGTTCTGTAGACAGATACCTTTTACAGAAAGATAACTGCTTTCTTTTTCTATTAAAGAAAACACTGTGTATTGTCTTCTCTATATTTTAGCTGAAGGAATTTTGTAGAAAAGTAGCACACTACCCAGATGAACTTCACCAATGCTTTTTGCAAAAATGGAAGACTGCACACTTAACAAGCTCACATCTTCTCCACGAGGAGAAAAACATGAGTGCACACACAATCAGCCCATGCTGCTAGGATGAATGGCTCAAGTGAACAGTAGCCCTTCTCGGTGACCAGGTATCTGTAAGGATTTATGCAACTGAAATGCTAAAATGGGGGGAGTGCACACTGGCTTTAAGGTGACAGTATTAATTGTAAAGGGTGATCAAAATATATAGCAATGTTTAAATAAAAAAAATGTACTACAGTCAAAGATATGCCTCCATTAATTCCCTTTAAAATTCACCCCCTTACTTCAAACACATTTATCCCATTGTTCTTCGTTCTTTCTTTCTTTTTTTTTTTTTTTTTTTTTTTTTTTTTTGTGGGTATTGGGAATTGAACTGGGGACCTTGCACTTGCCAGGCAGGTGCTGTGACACCGAGCTATGTCCCTGGCCCTCTTGTTGCTTTCTGAAGCAGTTCTTGAAGTCTTTTTTTGTGTCTTTTCCAGTTACTGCTGCCGGCCAGCATCATCCAATGGAAAAGCAGGCCCTCCCTGAAGTCAGAAACCACGAAAGGGAAATGTCTTGAATGAACTCAGGATACTGAGATACTCATAAAAGAGAACTTCCAGAACTGTTTCAGAAAGTGCCAAGAACGAAGGATAAGTGTGTTCAAAGTGACAAGCAGGATTTTGAGGGAGATTCACGGCAATGTGCCTTTTACTGCAATAATTTAGGAAAAAAATTAAGCATTTACTAATTTTTTAATCACACCTTATAGTATGTTCTGGCATTTCCAGTCTACTGTATTTCCAAAACATATTGTCTTTGGTGAATTCATAAAAATACAAGTATCAGTAAAGAGCTTGGGAGGCCATGCTGCTCAGAACAAAGCCAAATCAGAAAGAACAAAAACAGAGGGCATCAGTGACTCAGAATACTTCCTTCCTTCCTTCATGTGATGTTCTTATAACTGAGGCCATGGAAGCTGGTTCTGTTTTAGGAGAGTGGTTTCTTTAGCAGAAGTAGCTGAGCTTTACTTGTGTCTAATGTATCCCTTTGAAAAATGTAAAACATTCACTGCAATGCTATTGGGTGGGGGGTCTGCACACGAACTGACTTAAGGTGACAGTGTCCTCTCTGGTGAACTCTCACATGAGTCTGCAATTTTGTTCAAAAACGAGGTTTCAAAGTACACAATTTTTAACCTACAGAGCTCCAGCAAAGAAGATGCTCCTCGCCATCATATTGGGATTTAATCTCCAGTCAACAGATCCTACCAAATAGGGCCAGAGTTAACTAGAAAGACAATTTTTCTTCCACACATTCCCACAAATAGTCAAGGAGATCTTACCAGAAGCATGGCTGACGTCCCATTGGGTCTGGACAGGTGGATGGACATTTCAGGAAACATCCTGTCGATGCGGCTGATCACATCATCCACATACCTAGTTGGGAAACGCAACAAGCGAGTGAACAGGAGCCCTAGTTGAGGCTTCACTTCCAAGTCTAATTTCTTACCAATGTGATACATTTTAATGAAAGCAAACACTATCATAAGGCTTTTTATGAAAAAACACCACTCCTTTCTTCCTCCCCTTGCCTTCTTAAGCTGACCACTTTTTAGTAATTTCTTACCATATTTACTTCCGTATTCTAAAGTAAGTGTTTTGAATGCTACCACCTAACTTTTGTTTTAAACCACAACCCACTCTCTCCTACAGAAGACCAGAATGTAGCTGTGTCACCTTCCTTTCCCTGGGGCTCCCTGGCACCATTTCCACCCTCTGGCCTTGGCCAGGACAGGTTGTGGCTTCGGGTCTCACCTCTGGGGGCATCAGTCACTGAGTAAACAATTCCCTGGGATAAATTCCTTCTGTCTTAAAACACCCGGAGGGAGTCATTCCTGTTTTACCAGTTGATTCTAATTCAAATTATAGTGTATCACAACTTTTGCTAAAATCAGTACTGTGTTTAGATTCCAAAATCTCTGCTTTAAGTTTTAAAAGCAGAACCACATAGGCCTAGTGACTAATTTGCTTATGTGTTTTCCTCAATGTCTATTTTACTTCAGTTTTTACTTTATTAAGTTTTCTACATAACTATTATTTTATTCCTAAACTCTGACCCTAAAACCTCGCTCACTACAGTGAAGCCTATCAGGCAAGCAACCAGTTCCATTTTCATCCCTCCAAAATGGAGCTCTTTAGGTCCAAACGGAACTTGTATCTCACCAAGACCACTGACATCACACATTTACAGTGTGTCCAGCACACATTAAAGACTTAAAGATCGAAGTGCTCTTCTTGTGCTTCTATACACCACGGGCTATTCTGCGAAAGTGCTCTGTCCTAGCAGGATGAGTTCTCCCCTGGTGGGAGGCCCACTGTGAGCTGCCAGCCCCACAGCATAAACACCTGGGGCTGGCTCAGGTCCCTGGAGAATAAAATCACACTAGCATTTGTGATCCCCATCTGGTCACACTGGACACAAAGGGGATGCAGATTAGTGGAGACGCAAAACTATCTATTAAAGGCTTTGCATTAGATTTTGTATCCACTGGATATGACAAATTAAATTACACATCCATTAACTCAGGGACATGTAATAGCTATTCTCTCTGGGAAGGAATAGATAAGCTCTTCATTTACAACATGAAAAGATTTCACTCCGAAGCCCGTGGTTTGTAAGAGACAGCAGAAAACATAATGCCATTTATCGAAAAGTGAACACTAACATATCCACTACGAAAGTCAGACAATACTGCAGATCAACCCATCAGGTTTTCCTTAGTGAGTGTTAAGTGCAGTTTTCAGGTTGATGCTGCAGAGGGAAGTGGAACAACTCCCGAAAGCCTGGAGGTGACTGAGGGGGGAGCAGAGGGAGCAGAGGTCCTGAGGGTACTGCTTGCTCCGGGGGGACGCAGCGGAGTGAGAACAATACTCTCCCAGGCCACGGCATGACTTCTACAGATCAGTCTGGTACCACAACATGAAGAGAAGGCATCAAGAGAAGAACTTGCTTAGGAAGAGCAAGAGGCAATTCTGTTGGTCTGGAGATGGTCTAGAGAACAATCAATCGTTCTGGGTGCTATGAAACAGACCTAGACATCACACACCATCGCGGGTGGCCTCCCCCTAGAGTCACAGCTTCACTATGTGCAGCCACAGATCTAAGCTTTGACACTCCAACAAAGTGAACAGAGGAAGAAAGGAGGAAATCAGCTCGCTCTTCCACACCATGGATGTCTACTGAAACTGAGGGAGACACTTTACAAAACTTCATGCCACAAGTTTATACCAGGCCACTGAAACATTCTGCATCTATAAACTTCTTTCCTAACTCTATGTGTGTGGTTTAAACCTAGTTTCTTCCAGCTCAGCAGGAAGCAAAAATCTACTGTCAGTGAGTGGAGGTCACTGCTAAGTATATGCTAATGAGAGGGGGTGGGCGATGTACTGCGAACTGATCCTCAATCAATAGCCAGCGTAGCTCCGGACAGTAGAAAGCAAATGAATATGCAGCACTTCAGTGCAAAGGTAACATCATAATTTGCTCTCCCTTGTACCTTTCACCTTGAAGCCTTGCAAACCCACTCTGGAAAACTAGTCTCTTTGGCAGGCTAGGAAAACAGTTCACACAAGAGCCAGAGACCAAGCTCAGCGTGCAGGTTCCCAGAATCCCGCAGCAACGACCCGACTGGAGGGCCAGCACCCTGTGTGGGCACAGCCATGTCTAGATTCCTTATTTATCAGACTTTTGTTCAAAAGGGAAGGTAGTGGAGGAAGAAAAACAGAACCTAGGAAAAACAACTGCAGTTGGCACAGGAAAGCAGAGAGGTCTGGGTGAATCTTTTGTTGTCACTGCTTCCCCGAGCAGTGATCCTAGATAAAACTCGGCAGACTCCAGTCAAAGATTATATTAAGCAAAAGCACATTTTAAGGTGACTTTTTCATTCACATGCTCAACATAAAGGCAATGCAAATTTCTTTGTTACAGGTGACACTAGGTATTTGCCAAAAAGGGAAGGAGAGAAAGGCAGCAGTACCTTTAGCAGAACAGGAGAAAACAATGTCTAGTTTTAAGAAGCAAAAATCAAAACACTTCATTTTTAAAATAGACTCAGCCTTCGAGACAGAAACCAGCACCAGTGACTTGACAGAAATAAGGCATGGAACTGCAAATTAAAAGTCTGGAGGCAGAAGGGGCCTTTCTTTTTGCTGAGGGTGGGGCTGGGAGGGGAGGTGGTCGCTGGCAGCACCTCCAGGCTGCGCTGCTTGCGGGCACAGAGCTCACAGCTCCGAGAGCAGGGCTGAGGACAGGTAGGAACAGTGTGCTCTCCTCCCACACTGCCACCATATGCCACACTCCGCTCTGTGGTAGAATCAAATCACTTTAATTTTTACCTTTGGAATATAGGCAAACAAGCAGTCACACAGCAGTGGTGACTAGTTTACACTTGAGCAGACGCGGCGCGGAAAGACATTAATTTAGTGCCAAATTGAGCAGTGAGTCACAATTTGCACATATCTGTCAACCTGTTAACAGGGTAATAACTTGGAAAGATTGCTGTTCCTATTTACATTACAGGAGCCTTTCGAGAATGGAGAGCCGCCTGCTTCTCCTTCTCAAAGCACTAGGCCCACAAACTGGTTCAATGGCCCAAGAGCCAGGCAGAAACACAAACTTGCAGAAATCACAGGTTCGGGCCAAGGCGTGACTCGGACCTTCAGTGTCTGCAGGCAGAACCTTAACTTTCAAGCAAGCAGGAGCCCTTTTTCCTTGTCCTGCTCCCTACTCATGGTCAGATGCTCAATGTTTCTGATCCCATCTTCTCCAGGCCAAACCAACCCACTCTGGAAGCTTTTAATGGCTTACTGGGACTGAGTTTCCACAACCACAGTGTTTCTGCTTATCGGAAACAGGGACATCATTCTCAGATTCTAACATTATTTCTGGAGCCTATCAGTCTTAATCTTTCTGATACTCTTCAAGAAGCTCAGCTTGCTCCATTACATGGTCATGACGGGAGAATTAAACAACACCAGGACCTCGCAGGTCCCTCACTCAAGATCCCCATGAGTCTAGGACTTGACAGCAGCTCCAAGAGGCAAGCTGCGTCACCTCCCCCAATGTCACCCTACAAGGAGCCCCGTGTCCCGCTGGACGGCCTGGGAGTTTCTGAGTGCTTACCAGTATCTCCTCCACCAGTGGTCTCACTCCATTCAGCCTGGTGCAATGACACACACACGTTCCCTCCAAACTCCAAGGCTTTGAGTAGTGCATGAAGACTACTGAGTTTTCTGGTTCATTTCAACAGTGGTTTTGACTTTGTTTTGGGTCACAGACCCCAGAGAGAAGGTACTGAAAACTAAAATACATGCCTGCACAGTATTTTACATGCAATTTTCTTTAGTGCACAGGTCCTTAAAGCACCCTGTCTAGACCCCTTCCAGAACGGAGGTCTCTGGTGTCCTTTGCTGCTTTCTGAATGCCAAGTCTTTTCCACTGTAGCTACTTCTGTTAGTGGTGAGATCCCTGAGCCCAGCCCAGATGTGCACACAGAGGAAGTGGTAAGGAGGAACAATGGCTCCATCTAATAGCTCTGCCAAGCTTAGAACAGCTCTGTGACCGAGCCCTTAGGTTAGTTTTTACTTGTTTTCGCTTAACAAATAAGAATTGCATGTATTTATTATGTACAACGTGTGTTTTGAAATAGTATACATACATTAAGAACAGCTAAATCAGGCTAATTAACACATGCAGTACCTCATATACATTTTTGCCTGTGGTGAGAACAATTAAAATTACCTTTGCAGTTTTCAAGAACACATTGTTATTAACTGTACTGAACAGTTTCTCCAGCTTATTCTTCTCAACTGGAATTTTGTGTCTTTCAGCCAATACGTCCCCAAATCCCCCATTTCCAGCTCTCAGCAACTACCATGCTACTGTTTCTACGAATTCAACTCTTCTAGACCACATACTAAGTGAGACCATGTGATACTTGTGTTTGTGACTAGCTTACTTCACGTAACACAGTGACCTCCTGCTTCATTCATGCTGCAAATGACAGGATTTCCTTTTGTTTTTAAAAAAGCTAAATAGCTTGCATACATATTTTGTTTTGTTTTGTTTTGTTTCCGGTACCAGGAATCGCACTCATGACCTCGTGCTTGCCAGGCAGGCGCTGTGCCACTGAGCTAAATCCCCAGCCCGTATCATACATATTTTCTTTATTCATTGGTTGGTTAATGAACACTCAGGTTGATTCTATACCGTGACTATTATGAATGATGCTTCCATGAACGTGGGGGTGAGATGTCTCTTCGACAGACGTCATTTCCTATGCATGTACACCCAGCAGTGGACTGCTAAATCATATGGTACTTCTCCTTTTAGTTTCTGAGGAACCTCTACACTGTTTTCCATAATGGCTGTACTAATT